TATTATTTTTATACTATTTCTATTCTGTTGAGCCAGAAGGGCCAATCTTTTTATATTTTCACGTAGCTCTAATAGCTGCAGTGAATTAAACCTTTATTTTTATTATTTTATTAAATTGTTATTTGTTTGGCCATAAGGGCCGGCATTTATATATACCGTTTTTCTGTTGAGCCATAAGGGCCACAATATTATCTACCTACTGTTATAGCCATAAGGGCTTTGATATTATATTTTTATACCTACTGTGTTGCTGTGATTTTTTATATTTTTGTACCATTATTATTTAGATTTTGTATTATACAGCAACTAGTTAGTTACCAGCAATCGTGTTACCATTTTTTTATCTTAGTTTAATTATTGTACACACACCCACATATATACACACATAACACACAAACAATACACATAAATACACTACACGCATTACGTAGCTCGACAGTATTTGCCCGGCAATCCCGACCACTGCTGTTTGAGCTATTACACCACTACACACCCAGCTAGTCCTCGTATATTTAAGACCTGTCCTAGGTGTTAGTGGTCAACAATTAGGTGTCCGGGGTGCGCATACTATTATTATATGCTATCGGCCCGTCCAGGGTCAGTCGATTTAAGGGTCCAACTTGGTACGAAGGAAGCAATTGTGAAGTTTCAGGTGGTCCATGACAATTTTCCGAAAGTGGAATCATGAATCTTGGGCCCACCGTTCTTCAGATAAAATGGTATTAACATAAACTTCAGAACCTCTACTTTATCAACAGAACATACAGAAAATCCAGAGTCTCCAGAACCTCCAGATTTGCCGAAAACCCTAATCATCCAACCACGATCGGAAACGCTGGTGCCCATCATGACAGACAAGGAAGATGACATAACTCTAATATTTCATGCACAGACCATCGGGGAGGAGAGAGTATTATTATTAGGGAATGTCGTTAACTCCGTACGCGATGGCCAGATATTGGTTCCCGTTGTGAATCCCTCAGGGAATTCTATCGAATTCCTCCGACCTCAGCTAGCCAAAGTGCAATATGACCTCTTTGAAGGGGCAAGAGTACACCTCTGTTCTGAATCAGCGGAGCAGTCAAATAAGGAAAATCGGATGAAGAAGCTCTCACAGGTTATCCAAACAGATCATCTTAACCATGAGGAGCGGGCCAGTCTATGAGGAGTATGCAAGAAATATCAGGACTTATTCCACCTCGAAGGAGATGCTCTCCCATTCACTACAGCAATCCAACATGACATCAAGACGCAATCGAGAGCAGCTCCAGTGAATATCAGATCGTATAGACTTCCCTGCGCCTATAGAAAAGTTATAGTAGAGCAGATGGAAAAATTGGAAGAAGACGGAATCATCCAGCCTTCAGAATCTCCATGGAACGCACTTTTAGTGGTGGCCCCAAAGAAACCCGATGCTAGTGGAAATCCACAATTCAGAGTTTGCGTAGACTTTCGTTGGCTCAACCAGCTAACCATCGGAGATGCGTTTCCAATTAATCGAATTGACGAGATCTTAGATCAGCTAGGACGCTCCAGATATAACACTACGTTGGACCTCGCCAGCGGGTACCATCAAGTCCCGATCGTGAGAAGACCGGATTTTCAACGGGCAAGGGCCACTTCGAGTTCATCCGAATGCCCTTTGCATTAAGCGGAGCACCTAGTACGTTCCAACGTCTGATGAACGCTGCATTAACAGGCCTCAACGGCATCAAAGCGTTTGTGTACCTAGACGACATAATCATCTATGCAGCAGATCTTACGGAACATGAGAGCAGATTGGAAGAAGTATTTCAGCGTCTTCGGAAATTCAGCCTCCAACTTTAGCCATGCAAATGTCAGTTCCTCAGACGTGAAGTAGTTTACCTTGGGCATCTGATAACGGACACTGGTGTAAAACCGGATCCAGCGAAAATCAGTTGTGTTCAAGATCATCGGGTACCAAGGACCCCAACTGAGATAAAGCAATTTCTAGGACTCTTGGGGTATTATAGAAGATTTATTGAGCAATATAGCCAAATAGCCAAACCGTTAACAACCCTATTAAAAAAGGGGCAACCTTTCGAGTGGACTGCAGAGTGCCAAGCAGCATTTGAGACACTCATCCGGAAACTCATTCAAGTTCCGATACCCCAATATCCCAACTTCGAGGTACCATTTAATCTGACCACCGATGCGAGTCAGTATGCAATTGGGAGTGTCATTTCTCAAGGCCGGGAAGTAGGGAAAGATCTACCTATTGCATATGCATCACGTACGCTAAACAAGGCGGAGCAAAACTACAGTACCACGGAAAATGAACTGCTAAGCATTGTATGGTCAGTCAAACACTTTAGGCCATATCTACTGGGTAGACAGTTCAAGATTTACACAGGTCATCAGCCACTCACGTGGCTATTTAATGTTAAGGACCCTGGGTCCAGGCTCACGCAGGATAATCCAGTCGACTGTGCGTCTCGTTGTCTGTTCATTTTAGAACTTGTTGACCATCCCTTGTGGTGGACACGCCTCTCATTTCTTAAGGAGTCACCTGATAAATGGCCAACAACACCTATCCCTCGAATGAACAGCAACAACAACTCGACTCATCTTGAAGAAAGAAAGCCAATTGTATTACTCTTCATTGTTGACTCGTGTTTCATGAATTTAATTGAGCGATTTTCTTCTTTAGACAAAATTCTTCGGATCGTTTCCTATTGTCTCAGGTTCCGTTTTCGTTATATGACAGATGCAAGGACGACGAGTGTCAAAGCGGATGAACTCCCGTGGTCACTCCTAGCACTCATAAAATATGTACAAAAATGCACTTTTCCTGATGATCTATCTCGACTAAACCAGGGCTCCCCTTGTTCAAAACCCTTGCGTCATTTAGACCCATTTGTTGACGCCTTTGGTTTTATCAGAGTGGGCGGTCGACTGACTAATGCTGACATACCATATGCTCATATGCAATCACTTTTGTTGATCGCTCGAAATCGTCTTACTAAATTGCTTATTGACCATCATCATGTAAGACTGAAACATCCATTCGCACATGCACTGCAAGTATCATTGCAACGAGAATATTGGATCTTGTCAGCTCGAAAGTCAATTCGGTCACGATTACGACAGTGTATCCCATGTTTCCGCACAAGACCTAGAAATGTACAACCAAAAATGGCAAGCCTGCCATCGTATCGTGTGCAACAACTCAAACCATTTACAAGTACTGGAGTTGACTATGCCGGTCTAATATCACTAAAGGGTTCTCGAGGCCGACGAAGTGCTCTCACACTAGCATACATATCTAGTCTGTTTGTCTGCACAACTATGAAAGCGTATCATTTGGAGTTGAGCTCGACCTTGTCCACTGAGACATTCCTACTTGAAATAGTACGAGAACAGTAAATTTGAATATTGAAAAATATTAATAATTATGTTTATGGCTCTTAGACATAATATAAAATAAAGTAAAATAATAAAATCACAATCATCACAATTAAATATAGACTACAATATAGAATTATTTAGATATAGTTTTGCATCCCATTATTCACAATATTCATTACTATAAATATGTGGTCTTTTTACATTTCATACCAGATAAAATATAATAGTAATTTTATTGATCAAATAATTTTTCCTTTTTTAGAAAATTACTCAATATGTATGATATTTGGTTATATTAGTTTATCATAAGCATAAAAGAGTATGCGTTTTTAACATAAATTTTAACTTGAATGGTTTTTTTCTTAGAAAACTTATTTGTTGTTGAAAATTGGCAATTTACCAAGTTTTAATTCTGCATTTAAATCGGCATATGATATATGCTTTACAAGAGAAATTGCCTGCTTGTTTAGTTTACAAGGAAAAACAAAGAAGCCATTTGTATTACATGGTAAAAATTTAAATTTATATTATAAGACACTTATTCAATATAAATTTGATTTTAATTTTACTTATTGTACACCTCAAAGCGGACGGTTTTTGTTGTAGTTTTTAAAATAAAATGATTTTATTAATGTTTATTATTTATAAGTAAATTATATGGATCAGCTAGATGAGCATAAATGTGATGCACCATTTAACTATTTTTTATCCATATCACATAATATATACAATATACATAATTCTTCAATAAGAACAATCAATATTCAATTGTACCTATATGATATTAATATATTAATTGACTAAAAAAATTATGATTTTATAGAAACATTATCTGGAAGAATCCATAATTCTGATGAAGAAAAGATATTTTAAAATATTATTTCCAACATATTGAAACATAGTGGAAGTCATTATAAAAACAAATTATGAGAGATCGAGTATTTATTCATAAATTATTACCATCTTTAGATTTGTAAAATGTTATGTATAATTCAATGGTACTTGGAATACAAATTTAAAAGACAGATAGAAATATGACATAAATAGTCCAAATGTGTAATTTATTAGATATTATATTGTAGAACAAAAGATTTCTTATTGTTAACAAAAATTGTATTGACCAATGAAATGTATTGTTTTATGAAATATGAATAAACGGAAAATTAGCAGTAACAAATTTAATGCGATGATCTTTAAAAGTCCCATTATTCTAAAAAAAATGTATTGCCAAGCACAATAAGAATTATTGTTTTTGTAAAAAAAAAATATATAAGTTGTTGAATAAGGCCATATAGAGGACAAATATCCAAGATAATTTTAGTAGTTGTAATTTTTTTTTTTTTTTGATAATTTGTCAAAAACAAAATTTGCATTAAAGTGTTGTGATATTACTACTGAAATTGAAACGGCACTATTTTCAGTTTGGTTCAATTTGTTATTTAATTTTTTTTTTACATTATTTCAATTTTTTCATTTTATTGATGGTTTTTTTTAATTACATTTTTTTTACTCATACAAAGCTTTTTTAATTTTCCCACTGTATAAAGAAATGAGATATTAATGAAAAAGAGATTTTTAAACAAATATTTGTATAAAATGTAATAATGTAGAAAACTTCATGATGGGAAAAACTATTGTTTCTTCACTTGGGTTTGATGTGCTTGGTAAGCCTGTACCACAGAAACAGCCTCTTTTACTTTGGTCTTCAAAGATTCTTGATGTTCCAACATGTGAAGCAAATCTGAATTGTCCATCTCCAACAACATACCAATGATCTTATCAGTCGATTCCGGATACATACACTACAATATAATATTGAATAATTTAATGTAAGTCAGTAAATAAATTACTGCACGTATAAATTAAAATTTTACCTGAATGAGAGGGAAAAGCCTCTCTCCCAACATCTGTTTTTGATCTTCCAGCTTAGCGGTGGCCAACATTGTTGCAGTTAGTGGTTCTTGTCCATGTACATGAACAGCTGCTTGTACTGCTGCAGGAGGTTGACCATGTTGTGGTTGTCCCATGCCTTGAGCTTGACCAGGAGGATTACGCATATTAGCTGTATATTTGTACCCAAAGACTGTACTACGTGTGCTTGGAACAATTACACTTCCAGCAGCAACAGCACCTGGCATTTGTTGTTGAGCTGTGCTAATTTGTCTAGGATTTATATCCACCATGACATTTCTAGCCATTGTAGCTAGTTGACCAGCTGATACTGGAGCTCGAGCTCCAATGTTTCAATACTGTCGGGCCGTATTTGGATAACCTAAAATATATTTAATAAATAATAATAACAAATGTAAAGAAATATATTTTGATTCAGATAATATGTAAACGTTCCATCACTATGCGTTATATGCAAATAATGACCAAACACCATGAAAGAGTGTGGAAAAAAAGATAATCAACTCTTGATGCAAGATTATATTAATTATATGCAAAAAGTACCAGCAACAGCAGCACGCAGGCTTCTAGCCCTAACTTGGGGTTGGGAAGGCCATCTTGGTTGTGGGCGAATTTGAGTTATTTGGGTAGGTTCATAGAAACGCTGGGGCTGAGAAATAATAGGTACGAAGTAACCACTTGATGCATCAGGTTGAGAAAGTTATAATTCAAATATGGCATGTTAAAATATATTTGGAATTATTTAATTACTCATCTAGAATTCTACATATTGAACTATTTAAAAAAAAAAAAAACTATTATCGACCTACTGGGCCAATGGATTGTATTCTCGTATTAGTATTGTGATGTAAATATTGGGAGGCTAAATGGGCTTAACGATCTTCTTTGCGTTGAGCTAATGCAACATATAATGGTTTAGTACCAACAATACGACCATTCATATCTGTTACTGCTTTAGTAGATTCTTCTGGAGATGAAAAACATACAAAACCAAACCCTTTACTACGGCCATGATCCATCATCACCTAAAAATAATTTGATAATAATTTAAATATATTATCGACAAAAATTTTGTTTATGCCAAGTTAGCTCTACTCTTCAGGTATATGCTTGTCTCTTTCAATTAAATCAACATATAATTTATTACCTATATCTCAATAATGTTTAAATATCAGATTAAAATTTGCAGCATTATATTTTCTTTGTAATCATCATTAAAATTAATCTACTTACTTAAGTCTGAAGTTCAAGTGCTTGGAGTATTGGTTAAATTGAATTTTCTAAATAATTAAATACATATAGTAGACCTACCTATGAATATTATGTTATGAAATACATAATTTTGAAACGTTTCAGTCTTAGGTACCTAATTAATTATTAACATATCAGATTTGAGTGTACATCAAATTTATTCAGACATATAACGCTTGTCTCGTTAAAATCATAATGAATATTAATAAAGTAGGTACCTAAAAATAGTTTATATTGTGTTAAGTACCTAATACCTACCTACATAGGTATAGGAATTACAATAGTAGGTAATAAAAATCATAGACCGTCACATAATATAATTTTATTATTTATATATTACGTAAAACTTGTTTTAATTATTTATCAGTTATCAATATGTAAATACCTATTCATTGTTATATATTAAATACCTATAATATTGTATACAATAAGTATTAGGTTTATTACCTATACGCATGTAAGCCATGTAAGCCTACGTGATGAGTGTTGGTTGGAAACCACCCCGCCATCATTGCCATTTTCCGTTAGACGTTGGCAGCCACCAGGTGTACAAACAGTGTCAGATGAGTGGGGTGGGAAATATTTTTAAAGAATTAAGTTACTAAGAAACAGGTCGATTAATTTAGTATAAGTATATTAGCATTTTATTATTTTTTGTTTTAGTTCAATCTTAACCAAACAATACAAAATCAATTTAACCATCAACTAAATAACATATTTGTTAGTACAATTAGAGATTTGTATCATTTATATCAGTGGTAAAATACCTGTTTTTTGGCTATCCAGAACAATTAGGAAATTGGCGTTTACGCCCTTCTACCTTCTAACCATCGAAATACTAGTTAAATTTTATAATAATATTTTGTAATATATAAGTGATATTGGATATACATTTTTTCAGAGAAAGGAAAGCAGCTGCACTTAAAAAAAGAAGGCGGTTGTTTACTAAGAAACAATTATTTTTGAAAATAATTGTTTCGAGCAGAAGACAATTAAGGCTTAGGTGAACCACTTTTAGATGAATACATTCTAAATGACATTGAAGAAAAAACTCATTTACATGGTTTCTAGTAGTCCAAAATGTTAAACTGTATTATGCAAATTGACAGTCATAAAAATCTGTTAAAATATAATAATGGTTTTGGGAAATGCAATATCGTATGTGTTTCAATTTCAATTATATTATAAAATATAAATTAATATATCATACAATTATAATAGAGGAGTAAAAACAAAAGTATAATCATTAGGATTCGGAATTAATAGGAGCAAAAAATGAAAAAAAAATATAAATATGCATGTAATTATGCACAAAAATAGTGTAAAATATGCAAGAAAATTTAATAAATATTTATAAAAATTCAAAATTACTCAAAATTCAAAATCAACATATTGTCGTTAAATTAATATTCAACTGCGACGATAACAATAAATACCTACATTAAATAATATTGAGATTTATATTCAATATTATTTATATTACACAGTTTGAGAGAGAAATAGATCAAATATTTTTTCAGAAAATATTAAATTTGCATTATATGCGTACAAAATTAAAAGAAATATGCACTTTTGCTAATTTACAAAATATGCATTTTAAATTTTACATTTGTAAACTTGCAATTGTATAGCTGAGCTTTTTAGCTTGGTCGTCTATACACCAAGAGCATATAGAATAATAAGCAGCTCTTATAACATCTGAATCCTAATCATCATATTATAATGTATAATATATGGTTTAGTATCATTATGCGTACAATATATAAAATTAATTATGAATTACAAATTGATTAAAAAATATACATATTATATTCTTAAAGATCTTTAAAATGAAATATTTAATTAAGTATGTAACATACTTATAAAACATCAATTATTTTTTTTTTTTTTTTGACATTTAGTTATCCCAGATGGTGTATTAGCTTGCGTTTTAGACTGCTACTAAATTGTTCATCCAAACTGCATAGATCATCAGGGATTAGGCAATCAGATGAACCATCGTTATATTCAACCTAATATGTAAAATAACATTCATTTCAAGTTATTCAAATTAAATGCAATACGTATGACAAATTACACTTACTGAATATATGGGCTGATAATTTAACCCCAGAAATAAGCCTTTGTCGCCAGATTTTAAATGTATTTCTTTGTTAATGGGTGGAAAATTATTTGCATAGTTCTAAAAAAAATAATCAGGATAAAAAAAAATTATTTATGAATATTGAAGGATGTAAATTATGTTGTAAGGAGTATATTATTTACTTCAAGTGTTCTAATTTTATTAATTGAAGTTAATAAAAAAGGACAAACATTAAAAAAAGACAGTCATAAATCACATTTTTAAAGAATTAAGTTACTAAGAATCAGGTCGATTAATTTAGTATAAATATATATATTAGAGCATTTTATTATTTTTTGTTTTAGTTCAATCTTAACCAAACAATACAAAATCAATTTAACTATCAACTAAATAACATATTTGTTAGTACAATTAGTGATTTCTATTATTTATATCAGTGGTAAAAAAAAATTTTTTGTTATGATTCTGAAATATTTCCAAATAATTGAATAACATAAGAAATATATAATCAATACCAATAATTAAATAAATCAAAAACATGAATATGTATATTATGTCTAAAAAAATACTGTTATTCAGTTAGTTTCAGGTTTAAGTTGATAGATTAAATGATTTTAAAATTCAACCTGTACTCTTTTGAGAATAAGAACGTACCAAATTTACGTAGCAAGATCGGTTTTGCTCGTAGAAGCGTGGTGGGTTCTTATTCTCAAAAGAGTATAAATGTTTGGAAAATCATATTATGTTGTATTTTGATAACAACATTTTTTATTTTTTAGGTACCATTGTAAATTTGTGATTTAACATAAGGGGCTTTATCTAATAATATACAAAAAGTATAACAAACAAGAATACCTTAATTTCTTTTAGTGTAACACAGTCTGATATTGTACCATCACTGAATTTCACAATACCTAGAGGAGTTTTATCAATTTTTACGATTTGACATTCAGAGATCCTTTTACGTTGCAAGTGCCTTGCCCATACTTTTTGATTTATGTGAACAAGCCGGTTCTAAAAATACAAACATTCACCATAAATAATTAACATATTAAGCAATATGAAGAATAACTTACTTTATCTGGAACATATGAATGATTATTACAATGGATTAAAGTAATATGCTTGCTCTTTTGGTTAATTTGATAATCATATCCAGCAAATAATCCACAAGAAATATGGAACCATGCAGAGCAACGGCTTGCAGAGCAACGAACACAATTACCAGATGTTAAATTGCATATTACACACTGAAAAATATTTCATACATTTAAAATGTTGCATAATTTAGGTATAAGAAAATACAACTTAAGAATGAACCCACCTTTTTGTTAGTTATAAAGTCTGTTGAAAAAGTATTGGTAGTTAATGGACTACTGCCTTGCATAAAAAGATGACATTCAACATGTGACCATCCATTGATTTTAAATTCTTTTAGAGCACCGCCTTTCAATGGACAGTATAAACAAGCCTATAGGTACATACATTTCATACTTATTAATATTTTATTACAAACTTTTGAAATTGGTAAATCAAATATTTTTTATGTATACTGATTAATCTATGAAACTATAACAATGAATGACAGAAAAAAAACTTAAATTTTATAACAAAAATAATAAAATTTTGAGTCAAAGTATTAATTTGACTTGAGAATTATTTTTTATGTTGAGACTTGAACAACTATACATAATTTATTAATTTATAATATACTTACAGCAAGCCTAGGATTTGTCATGCATCGATCACACAACCAATGAATACTTGTGTCAACAGTTATGCCATAACACACTTTATGAACGGTCAAATAACATTTTTCACATCTAATGAGTTTTTCTTTAAAAACCTTGTCACTGCCAGAAAGTGCATGTTTAAATAATGCTCTGGTGGGTTTCTTCAAGGTGGGTAATACGGACGATTTTGCTATGTATTGCCAATCCAAGTTGAAAGTTAACTATTCAAACATTAAAAAAAGTATTATGATTTTTCAATATAGCTTTTTAAAAATAAATTATATTCTTAAAATGTATATTGGTGTATGCAACAATCATATTTTGATCATAATGAAGAGTCTACATTTTTATAAGTAAGGTACAAGTGATTTACTGGAAAAATGTATTTTCTATTACCTTTTTACGATTTAGCATCATACATATAGAACAATGTGGATCAACCATACTTCTATAAATATTATACAGTCGCTCAACTTCAAATGAGCAATTGTTGTTAACCATGTCCCTTACATTTTGTATACCTGCGAAGAAAATGATCATATAAGAACAATAAAAACATATAATGAACATAAAATTAAATTATTTATAAACAAAATTAAAATAATACTATCATAATTAGTATTTTTATTGTAACCAATATTACTAGTACCATACATAATATCATATTGTACTGTAGAACCACTTATTACGATGTTGTATACAACAATATTCCGAATACTACGATTCCTAGACTTGTACTTGGTTGGTTTTATGTCTCACGTGCAGTATGTTTTTGTCATCCGGGTATAACAAAGCTAGGATTAAACAATCTAATTCAATGAGTACCTTTAAGATTGTTATAAGCATATTCTACTATATTTTTAAATATTGATATTAACTTACATTAAAAAATTGAAATTTAATATTTAATGATTGTTATAATATAAGTAGAAAATAAATTAACTGAAACATACCATCAATTTCATGTTTTTCTTCCTTAATCTGCATAGGTTCAAGAGTTGGTTGAAAAAAATTCCATGTGGATTCCAAATCTATTTTTGTTTCTAGTTTTGCAGATTTTCTTTCATTGACACTTCTTTTATCTGGACCATCAGAATAATCAGTACCACTTTTAAATTTTTTATCTTTCAAGACTGAATGATTTTTATTCAAAAGTCTAGATTTTCCATTATTATATGATATTTCAGTGACATCTAAAAATAAAAATGTAATTAAAAATAATCATTGAAGCAACAAGATCAATGTAAACGTTACCAACCCATTTCATCAGCTTTCAGCAATATATTTTCCATTATTTCTCTCTGTTTGTCATTAAGTTGCTTATCTTCATATTCTTTTTTATCTAACTTTTGTACACTTGTTGATGTAGGTACATCTATAGCTTTTTTTGCATATGTTGTATCATTAGGCAATTCAGAATCTGATTGAAGTGTTACATGACGACGTTTTCTACCAGATTTAATATTATGTTTTGGAATACCTGTATTGCTGTAGCATAAAAAACCATATTTAAAAAACTTTTATTTTTGGATAATTAAAACTAACTTACTTCTTGTTACATATTATATTAGATTTACTAGTTAAAGGAGCTTCTAAAATACCAGAAGTATCTTTTGGATGATCACCAATATTATTTTTTTGAAGCCATAATTCATACTTTTCGGGTTGTATACGTTTAACAAATGTATCCATACAAATCTTCACTGAATCTTCACTGCAATGGCACAGAGAAGCTTTTTTACCATACTCCACCCAACGTGGAGATGCAAAATTAGTGGATTCCGCCATATTGAATCCATGGTTAAAACCCGAATGATATCCAAAGGGGAATGTTATCATAAACTCACCTCGTTCTTGTGTGATCTATAACAAACAATAATATTGATCATGAAAAAATCATAATTAGTTACTGATAATCAAGTTTAAAATTAGTAATTCTTAAATTATTTACTTTATTAAATGGTATAGAATATTGTTTCAAAATATTAGGAGATATAATAGTTGTTTTATGTCTGAGAAAAGCAGGGCACTTTGAAGCTTCAGTTGAAAAAAAGCGATTAGCCAATCTTTCAAATTGGCGACCATGTTCTGGAGGTATTGTATACCTTAAGTAAAATAAAATATTTAATAGATAATGACAAAGTATAATAATAAAATGTAAGAATAATCTTACCATGTCTTTGGATATCCTTCATGTATATAGTTTATACTATACAAGTCCATGTCTTCAGTGTGCCAAGCAAATGAGGATTTCCACATACCAAAATATAAATAAGCTGTATTGACACCTTCAATTCTAACACTATAATCTTCATGTACATAATCTAATATTGTACCCAATTTGTTAATATTCCAAACCTTAATTTAATTTAAAACAATGTTCACTTCATTTACATATACATTTGAAATCAAATAAATTATAATTTATAAATGTATAAATTTAAAACTTACACCAACATCTTTATCCGTAATAGATCCAGATACATCTGCACCATACAATGGGGGTTTGTACTTTATATTCCTCCAAAATTTATTTTCAAGATCGTCATAATCAAAGTGGTCAGGTGTCTTAAATTCATCTGATTCTGCTATTATTTTATAATCGGACACTGTCATAGGTTTCTTTTCTACATTAAGTAGTTGATAAAGTCCTCGATCGCCTCGTGCAACCTAAATCAAAATAATAATTAATGGACTTGTTTTTATTAAAAACTAAGTACTTGAACGTAGTACTTGACTGATTGGAGCTGGAATTTTCAAACTCATAATATCATCTTCATCATAACGATTTCTTCTAGCTCTCCATTCAGGTGGTGGGATAACCTAAAAGATTAATATTACATATTTAGAAGAAAAATAAAGTAGAATTGTAACAATAAAATCTGAAATCGATATAAAGTGCAACAATTTTATAATATAATACTTTCGCCAATCCAGCCCTGTGAGCACCTTTCTTCTCCATCAGCTCAATATAGCTACTGAAATTTTTAAATTCTGTCCAAGTTGGTCTGAAAACCATGATTCTACATGTTTCTTTATCAGAACACATCTTATCTAAAATTATAAATAAATAACTATTAACATAAATATGTTATAAGTACAACTAAATTTGAATTTATATAAATTATATATTTTATATTATAATAACTACATTTTCAATCCAAAATGTTTTAATGATTGAAATTAATATATTGTTGTGTTTTGAATATCTGATGGTAGATACTAATAATAGGTACTAATATTACTATTGTTTTATTTAATTTTCTTAAAAAAACCTATTAATAAAACATTTCTTAATTATATACCTAGCCGCATGACTATATTTATTATCAATTGGTGAAAACCAGCAAATTTAGTGTGGCATATTTTCAAATCAGTAGAAGATTGAAAAAAATTTGTATTAATGTGCATATGTTGGCATATGTTGAGCATATTATAAGGGTAATATGTTACAGTGACATTTGTTTTCTCCGTCTTACAAGTGAGTAACATGGTGAATTTTACCCTGAGCAGAATACGTTTTCTCCGTTAGTTTAAAAGTTAGAGCAAACTGACCTCTTATAAAATTTAAAGGTAAGATTATTATCTAGACAATGACATAGGCTTTTTATTATATTTTAATTTTAAAGTGAGTTATGAGTATTTTAAGATGTACAAACAGTTTACAATTTTAAAAGACCCATAACTCATTTTAAAATTAAATTATAATAAAAAGCCTATGTGATTGTCTAGATAATAATTATACCTTTAAATTTTATAAGAGGCCTATTCACTCTAATTTTTAAACTAACGGGAGATAAATGTGTTCTGCTAATATTACTATTGTTTTATTTAATTTTCTTAAAAAAAACCCCTTAAGAAATCATTTCTTAATTATATACCTAGGTGCATGCCTATATTTATTATCAATTGGTGAAAACCAGCAAATTTAGTGTCGCATATTTTATATCAGTAGAAGATTGAAAAAAATTTGTATTTATGTGCATATGTTGGCAACCTTCATAAATACTAATAAATTAATTTAATACAAATACATATTTTAAATATCAAGGATGTACCTAAAAGCCTACAAATAATGAACAACCACCATAACTTGGAGAATACTATTCAGTATACTAAGCTATCTAACACATTTTGAAAATAATAAACAACAATTATGAACTAAACTAAATACTAATAAATACATTTGTTTTTTTTTTTTTTTTTTTAGATTTCTATGTATTTACTTTTTAGTACTTTACTACTGTATATTAATGTAATATAATGTTACCGCCTAAAATTATTGTTTAAGCTAAAATTAACTAATTCAACTTTACATACGTTTCATCGCGTTTCATGCATATATTATGCATCTGAACTTGTCTTTATAAATAATGTAATGAACCGAGTAATGAACATATTGCTATTTTCAAATTAGACTCAACTTGCTTATTATTTTCTTGAGTCTTGGATAGTTCCGGTTTCATAACTTTGGTTGTAGGCCGACAAGAATAATTATAATAATTATACCTTTAAATTTTATAAGAGGCCTATTTGCTCTAATTTTTAATCTAACGGGAGATAAATGTTCTGCTGAGCGTAAAATTTGGTATATTAAGTACTTGTAAGACGGAGATAACAAATGTCACTGTAACGTCCTAAGGGGCCTGGTACCAGTTTTATTCAATTCCATAAAATTTTATGTTTTAGTTGCCACCTTAATTATAATACTTGAAAAATATGAGTTCACGAGAATAATTATTCTTAAGAATTGTGGAATAGTTGGATTTTGATAAGTATTTTTTTTATATGCAATAAGAAAACTTCCTACATAGGTACCACATCAAACTCCAATTTTTTATTTTATTTCAAATAACGGTATAATATAATTTATAAAAACACTTAAAATTGTATTCATTTTGAAGGCGTATTGTAAAGTTTGAGGTTAAAAATATTGAAAAATGGAGTTTGATGCAGCCATTAGATTATTACCCTATATTAGTTTAATAGAAAAATTATCAAATTTGGTTGATTCTACAGAATTGGATTATTATTCTCGTAGAGAGTATTCTTCTGTACAAAATTACATTAGCACATGGCGCCTTAACTGTTATACTATGATAGCTTTCATTAAGATTATTTTACTTTATAGTTAACTAGTTGATCCTGCGCAATTCATTGCCTGTAAAAATGACAACCCTTAAAAAAACTATGATTGTTCAACTCCTTTTGGATGTAACTCACTATATCGAATATCGGAAAAAGTGCAACTCACCCACCTTGGCGGGCAATGTGCGAAAATTTGATTTGATGCGAGCTTTTATCTGATCTGCTCGATAACCAATGGCAACTAATAAAATTTAATTTCTACTAATTTCTACTAATTATTTCTCCTATAACCAATCACAACCATTTATAAACAAAAATTCCATTGTAAATCTCAAAATCCTTGTTTAAGCACCTCACCGGGTGGTACTTACCGGGTCAAATGGAGAATCTAAATCATCCTGGGAACCACTCAACGCAAACAAAAAATTTTATCAAAATAGGTCCAGCCTTTTAAGAATGCATAAAGGACAGACAGACGGATGGGCGGACAGACATTTATTCATTTTTATAAGTAACCAAATTCTATTTGTATTTTTATCAAGGCTGAGCAAGTTAACTATTTTTTTAACTCGTTAAGTTAAGTTAATATAGAAAAATGTAAGTTAAGTTTAAAGTTAAAAGTTAACTTTAAATTTTAAATTTTTATTTTTAAAAGTTCCAAGTTAATTAGAAAATAAAAGAAACTTAACTTGGTTAAAAATAAGTTACTTTTTTTTTTTTTTAAATAAAATTAATAATTATACCTACCTACCTTTTTTAAAGGCAACAAATAACATAATAATTCAATAAATCAATAAATGTCTTACAATTTTTAAGCAAACGTTTGTAATAAAATAAGTTACTCTCGGTTACTGTAGGTACTTATATTTGTATATTATACTTCACTCAATGATGGAATCCAATAAAATAATTAAATTATTGTTATGTATTTGTTAACGTAAATGGTCCACAACTATACTAAATATTATAATAACCAAATTCATTATAAGTTATTAGAATATAATATAATACTAAATATTATGAAATTAATAGTAAGAATTTAGAAATACGTAAATACGAAGAACTGCCAAGCTACTACGGGTATTATACTATTATTTACAACGAGGGGCCAAGTTATTGCTGTAATTCTATTAAGAAATACAAATATAATAAGTAATAATATTAATAATGATTAGGTATAGCGTTATAATATGTAGTGTAGGGGTAGGTACTGAGTAAATTGTTTTATTTTTCTTTTATTAATGACGCAGTTACCCCTATAACATTTCCGTCTATAATATAGTAATATAATATTTTATGTGAATATGCAATATAATAACTTACTATTATTATAAATTATTATTTACTAAAATATATTTAATATTTCGGGTTTTTTTTTTTATTTAAATAGTTTTACAAAATTGAATTTATTTTAAATATGTGGTTTGGGAAAAAATTAACTTAACACGTTCACTGCGTACTGACGCCAATTGGCGTCATAAGTATCATTCAGCAACGCGTTTGACGCCATATGGCGTCTAATATACATTTAAAATAAATGGTTTAAAATTCTCTACGCGTGGCTGAATGTTATTTTATTATTATTTAGAGTGGATTAAACGCATGTTTTTAAATATGTATACATACGTCGTTATGAGCAGTTTCTTTATATTTTTTTTTTAATTTCTTTTGTTTTTACTTTTATCATACGCACTGGGTGATAACTGCAAAAAGACATACGCAGTCTACGTGTTAACGTGCCAATAAAATGAATTACATCGTTAAGTTACTGAATAGCATGGGGAAAATGTAACACGTTATGTTAGAAGTTACTTCTAAAAAAAAAGTAACTCGTTAATTAACTTAGTTAAAAGTAACTTAACTCTAACTTATTAACTCGTTAATGCCCAGCATAAGGATTTTTAAGTAAAGCCGTAGGTAACTATACCGGTATCTATCAGATCTTAACAAACATCAAACACATCAATTGAAAACTTACAATTCGGTGGAGGTATAAGTATCAATGTAGATAATTACAATTTACGCGCCATACATTAAATGTTTTCTGTTTCCTTTCAATCTGTCCGACAGACTCACTCACCGGTCAAAAGCAATACTTGATAGTAGGGTCGGTGGTTTGGTAGATTGGTTAAGAACGAACGATTAGGTAACGATGGATATATCGCGGTAACAACGAAAACTTAAACCATCTACGAACGGACTAGCGACGACTAACCGACACAGAAGTACAGAACTCGGAAGACCGTGGTCGTCTTTGCCACTTGCGATAATTTCGGATTGAACGTCAAACATCCGAGTTTCCGACAGAAAACGACGAGACACAATGCCGAAATGCGTATCACGACAAAATAGATAAGCACGTCGGCTGCACCGGGTTGTTGATGCGAATCGTGCTTGCCGACCACGACTCCTCACCCAGTCTTCGAGCAACACATGCTCGCCGCTGTGTGTTGTACGGCAAATTCCGTTGGCCAATGAAATGAGGCGAACCACGACTATGGTTGGGAAAGGCAGGAGGCTGCTAACCGGACTACGTCTCGTATTGTTGCTGTTACCGTGTTGCCAACATACCAACTACCTACATTTAAATAATAGTATTATATTTTGTCATGAATGTTTGAGAGAAAATTAATTATATTGTACGTATTGCCCCGCTCGCCAAGACTGTGAAGACTGGCTGTTGGCCCTTTATTTTCTTCAAAAACACTATGAGATCTCTATGATTTAATATGTCTTTTTCACATAAACATATAAAATAAGATGCTTCTTCACACGGATATACACATACACATATTACACTTTACTGGACACGACATGGCTGAAGTGTGTGGGGGGTTGACCACGAAATGTAGTACAACAGACCGAGTTCTGGGGGATATTTTAATTGTAAAAAGTAATCATAGACCTATAAACTAATGGACAAAGCTTGGTGAGAGAGGTTCACAGGTAGGATATACAGTA